ATTACCTTGGCCTCCAGCACCACTGTCAGGAATCTTGGAGTTATCAGGATATGTCCTTTAATTCCTGCATAAAGCAAACCTTTAGGACCGGCTTTTTTCATTTACGTAACATTGCAAAAATCAGACATATCCTGTCAGTGCTGAAGAGGAACCTGGGGTTGTTCTTATTTTCTTCTATTAGTGTTGAATAATAGGCTCCTCTGGCATTACAGAGGGCCTTTCTATATGTTTTAAGACTATCTTGCCAAATTGAACGATATTCTAATAGTTTGAAGGAGCGCCATTTCCTTTCAGATTTCCACGTCTTTTGCTTTAATTGGTGGGTTTGGTGGTTGTACCACGGTGCTAGCCTCCTATGTTTTAATATTTTCCTTTTTATAGGGGCAATAAAATATATTGTTTTTTTGTAGCGAATCAGTGAGCTTGGTGCTCTAATGCAGTCAAAGGTGATGGACACGTGCGTGCCTCCCACTGTACAAAAATGAAGCCAAAATATCCCAGATGCCATCTTCCGCATTCGGAGTCTGCGCAGTAGTGACTGGGGTTGGTGCCGCGGTATTGTAGTCCTGTCCATACACCTGGCCGACTCAACAGGCAGGGCTCAGCTTCCATTTATGATGTGAAACCCCCTTTTTATAATTTCAAATAACTAATTAAAACCAAACTTACCAGAAAAAAAAATAGTTAAACATACATCAGGTCTCCAATACTATAAGCTATTGTGCATGCTTTCAGAGGTGACTAGCATGAGAAAAATAGGAAAAAGTAGGATAATACTGAGCACATCCCAAGTTGTAAACCAGGAGCAATTTCACTTTCTTTGAGCCCAAAGCTTTTTCAGGAATTAGTCAAGTAGAGTGGTAAAACTATGAGGAAACCTTAAGAATAAGAACTTCAGGCTTGAGGAAAACAGTCCTGATATGTTTTCTTTTGTAAAGCCAAAGATATGTATTTTTAAATCATGTTCTTGTTCAAATATCATAAAGAAATGTCAGGCTTTGAGTGGCTTTAAACATAATCATGTCACATGTTCCTGAGACTTATAGCCAGCCACCTACAATGGCTGCAAATATCACAGGACGCAAACATTTTACATAAGATGCATTGAAAATGGCTATTGTTTCTTTCACTAATTCAGTCCGTCTGTGAATATTTGAGAGGATTCTCTCAGGCTTAGCACAGGAATCTCTAATCCGCCTTAAATCAGTTACACCATATTGGCTGACTAGCTCTGGCAGTGCTGTTTACTGTGCCTTGCCAAGACAAAGTGAAAACTGGAGCTCTGACTAAGTAAGGGTGCTGGGATGTAAGGGGGAAAATTAGCTTTTCATTCAGGCTCTTTCTGCAGATATATAAACACGGGGGTGGACATTTTCCACAGCTTAATGGTACAATTTCAGTAACTCCTTTTTCTTGAAAATGAAATTGAGAATTGTGACACTTTTATCCATCAATACCAATTCTTATTCATTCATTCACCTTATTTAATCAGGAAAGTTGTTGAACACTCTACTCTGTGGGAACAATCCAGTAAAGTGGCAGTTGTAAGCCAACAATTGTTGGATTTTGGAACAGAATAATAGCTAAAAAGATGAAACAACTAAAAAACAGGCCTGGCTCTGCTTATTTTTCATCAGCAGCCTTTTCAGATAGCAGGAAGATGCAGTCTTAAATTACCTTTCAACATATTGGGTGGATTTTTTGTTGTTGAAAGGGTTAGGGTGAGTGGGTAGGTGTTGAGGGGGGGATTAAGTGATGGGTTTAGGTTCAATTATAAAAATGGAAATAAAACAATTGATTAATTTCTAATGCCACCGTTAAATATATCCATTCAACGCTTTACCAATGTGCCACAGTAATGTTTTTGAGTTCAAATATGATTCAGCAACATTTAAATTTAGTAGTATAAAGTATAAATTCATAAAAAGTTAATCTGAGCAGATGTTGTGCTCTGGATTTCTTGAATATTGAGTGGCTGTGTTTAGCCCTGATGTCAACATAAGCTTTTAGTCAAATGCAAGACAGTTATTCACAAAGCAACAAACCAAGTAGTTTTTTTTGCCTAAACCTAACCAAACTGCAACATTTCACAACATTAACCACATGTTAAAAAGGCAGTAGCTCAGTTCGTAGGGACTTTGTTTTGGAACTGGAGGGTGGCCAGTTCAAGTCCAGCAAGCACCACAGTAAAGAGTATGAACTGGTATCTGGAGAGGTCACAGTTCACCATGCATGACACATTAATTATTGCTCATAGTCTATTGGCAGAGATGGAATATAATATTCATAGGTATGTTTTCATCATTTCAGGAGCCGTTTTTATCTACATAAGGAGAAGGGAGTCTATGTGGTACCACAGTGTTTCCACAGTAGCTCAAATATTAGCCAAGGTAAGTCGCCCCCCTTTGTTTCTCTGAGACGCTAATCAGTTGGTTGCAATCTGCAACTTAACCACTAGATGCCACTAAATCCTACGCATTGGTCCTAAAAGTCTTTAAGAATGTGGTCACACCACACCAATTAAGCCTGGTTGAGCCTGACAACATCAGAGTATGAGCTGGGCCAATAGCATTCTGCATTTGCACCGTAGTTACCATGCGTTTTTCCATATCCAGGTAAGACATCCAGATCCCAATTTTATACCAGGTAGAAATAAGGTAGCCTTTGCATTGACATCCTTCTGATAGCTGCTCTGTGGGGCTTAGCATTGTGCCTTCAGGACAAAATAAAAAACAAGAACCAATCATTTTGCAGCAGGGCTTCCTGCAAGCAAATGACCAACAGGGTTGTTTTTTCTGTTTACTCTATTTTTGTTTTTCTTGCAAAATGTCAAATGCAAATTGTATGCAGATTTTCTTCTCTATTCAGATTATGGACATATTTTTTGCATACTTAATCAATACGAACTGTACAAAGTTTTACTCTAATCCACTGACTCTAAAACACTGCTGTGCACATATACTGAGACCATCTTTTTTCATCCTTGCTGCTTGTGCTGTTTACGGACAGGAGTCACTTTACAGTCATCCATCTTTGTTTTCATACTGGACACAGTGTCACCTTGTCATCTAGAGTTTGATGCTCAGGGACTGCTCCAAAGTCCTTAACAATAACAAAAGAATCTCAGCACTCAAGCATATATCAGCTTGTATGCTCATACTTCATACACACTTGTATATTGCTGAAAACAACTTTCAGCAACTTTCTCTCATTACTACCTCTCCTTGACCAGGAAACCTGCTTCTGGGAGCTCCACTCCAGCACAAGGATAGTTTGATTCTATTGAGTCATTTAGGCGCAGTAACTGTCAAGAACAAATAAGAAGCCATTTCAAAGAGGAATGGAAAAACAATACTTGTCATAAACATGCATAAGCCAGCAACCCAGCCATACAATCAACCCAGTCATACAGACACGGTCAAACAATACAAATAAACAACCAGGAAAATAAGGATTTGTGACCAGATAGAAGGTTTAACTGTTGTGCAGGAGCTGTTTGGCTTCCACTGAAAAGGCTTCATGGTGATCCTTTCTTAATAATTTAAGAGGTCTTGGGTTTGGGTTTGATTGATCACTGATACTCACTCATGTGTTGATGTGAATCTTTCCAGTATACATGTTTAAAGTAAACTAAAATTGGCATTTAGGTATAAAGCATCATACAGCTATTCAAAATAAAACCCTCCAGAGTTATTGAAATGGTTCTCTTTTTTGTTACATTTGTGTGATTTCATAAAAGATGGGAGAAATGGCCAGCCAGTAATGTGGATTTTGTTCTTATTCAGGTCAAAACATTGACAGTATATATAATAAACAGAGCTTCCGGTTCCTAAACCTGCATTCTATGTAAAGGCCAGCAGGGGGCAGCACCATTGGCTGCAATAAAAGACCAATACCATGCAGTCTTATGGAGAAATGAGCCGACTTCTGACCTGATTTATGAGCTTGGTAAACAGTTTCCTAATGAGTTTATGGTCTCAATCACTATTTACAAGTCTTCTTACATACAGCATGATGTTCATTTAGTAAATTATGGTCCCATTTAGAGTAAAATAGATCATAAAGAAGGGTATGCTTTAGGGCGGGGCTACCCCGTGATTGACAGCTCATTCTCAGTGAGTCCGTCCAGCTCAACGCACCAAACTCAGATCAAACTAGTCTAGATTACAGATGGGTGAGATGACAGACAGGTAATGTGACAGACAGGTGAGATGACAGACCAGCAGCAGACAACCACTGCGTTACCTAGCCACGTAGCATTGTGTGTGTGGTTAGTATTGTTCACACTGTCTGCTCTGATGATGCTTGATTCTATTTGAGGTTTCAGGTTATTACATTTCTGGGGATTAATAATGCTTATTGACCCTTGATTAATTTAATTGGTTATAGTAAAGAGAGCAGTTGTATATTGTGATAATAATCACAAGAGACAAGAGGTGTCTAACGTTGGGGTGTGTAATGTTTGATAAAAGGTGTGGACCCAAATGCAAGATGCTGATTCAGAATTCGGTTTTATTCCAGACAAAAGGTGATGGTGCTGATGATGAGAGTGTTAAAGAGATGGTTGCCTGGCAGGCAGACAGGTGAGGTGAAATCCTAAAGCACAAGAGTAGCAATTAGTCAGGAGTTGTACGCATGAAACTATTTGTAAAATTACAAAAAACTACAACACAAATGAACAACTAACACGTACTCCCACTGTTGTAGAAGGAACGATCTGCCAAAGCGTAGCTAGAGAAGTGGAGTTGATATACTGTTGGGTAGATGAGTTGATTGCAGATAGGTGTGTGGAGCAGAGCTGAAAGGCAGGAGGGGAGACCACATCCACGACACAGACACAGACAGACAGGAGACACGGGATGGGCAAACACAAGGAAACACAAGGAAAAGGCAATTGTATAGCAACGGCCATGATAGAGTGAGAGGCAGCTGACGTTGGGGTGAAGGATGGCTGACATTGGGGTGTACATTTGGAAGGTCAGGATATGTTGGTTCAAGGTTCAAGCTTGTTTGTTGTTACTTCCACACACAGGGATGAAATGTTGTTTCTGGTGGTCTGGTAGTGCTACATGAATATAAATAATAAACACATAAAAAACAGCAATCACAGGCATCATTCACACTACAAACGTTAAAAGCTAGATAACATTTTGAATATCAGTATGTAAGTAGAAATAATAAATGGATATTATAAAAATCATGAACTGTAGCAGTCTGTGTAGTAGGTCATAGGTCAGACGGGTAGTACAAGCACACATTCGTACAGGAACTAGCTAGTAGAGCGGAGGGGCCGCTGCATCCATGCACGCAACAATAACAACAATAAGAACAATAACAACAGGTATGTTTAAGGAACAATTTAATTGAAAACAAGTCATGAACAACAGCCAATGAAATGTCAAAACACAAAGATCATCACACAGACACTGTCCAATCACAGCTCAGCATAGTGCTGACAGTGGAGGGGGTGGGGCTTACATCATAACAATATGTCTATATAAAAACTTGTGAGACAGGATGGAGGCGAATTGGGTTCAGTTTGTACTGATGTGGTTTACAGATGTGGGGTCGTCCCTGTCCTGGCTGGTCCAACATCCTCCTCTGAGGACCATCAACAAGTAACAAAAGATCAATACCTGTGTCAGATAATAATGTCTTTGCATTTCACTAACAGCCAATCACATTGACATTATGCTGTTTCTACAGTGTCTTAAACATCTCCATGGCAACAGCAGCTGATGCTCATGGGTATGTATACAGACAGACAGACAGACAGACAGACAGCCTGTCTCACCTCTCCTGTTGAAGTACTCTCTGGAGTACCTGCCAGACAGAGCGAAGGGCAGAGGGATCGGGCCGAGCAGCTCGATGATGTGAGCGATGTGATCTGAACAAACAGTAAAAGTACACAGTGAAGTGCTCTGTACTACACTACACTACTGTACTACACTACTGTACTACAGTACTGTAGTACACTACTGTACTACACTAACTGTATACACTACTGTACTACACTCAAATGTACTACACTACTGTACTAGTTTATAAGGTACCTTCGTCTCTGGTGTAATCTTCTCCTGAATGAGGTTCAAACAGATAATCTCCTGTTGCCAACTCAAACGCCTGAAACATCAATCAGTAAACAATATATCAGTATGTCAATAGATCAATACATTCTTATATCAATCAATCAGTAGAAGTATCAATACCGTGATAATTATACAATCATAAAAATAAACAATCAGAAAAACATCCTGATGTATTGATATATTGATGTACTGATGTATTGATCAGTATGTGTACCATGCAGGCAGTGCTCCAGATGTCAGCAGGGGGGCCGTACTCTGCTCCAATCAGAACCTCCAGAGCTCGGTACTGTCGGGTCTGAATGTCCTCAGTGAAGTGTTTGTGCTGGACGAGACACAGAGAGAGAGACAGAGAGAGAGAGAGGCGTCTGATTGGTGGACAATGACACTGCACAGAGGAAGAGGAGGAGATGATCAAGATGTCTCACCACCCAGCATGCATTTCCCAGATCAGCAATCTTCACTCTGAGTTTGTGAGCATTGAGAGGATCCAGAGGACTGAGGACGAAGTCTGAGGCACTGAACACTGAAACACACACATTATAATTAATTGTTAGTTATTATTTATTAGGACGCTCTTAATCCTGCTGTCACACAAAGATCTACACATCATCACTTTGTATCTGCTTTTACATTTAATCTTTGTTTTAAACACAAATAAATGAATTATGACACTTTAAAGCTTCTCTATGTAACCGTCATTACACTGTAGTTAACAGCGCCACCATTGGCCGTTCAGTGAACTGCAGTCAGCGTCCTGTTGAGTCTACTACTATGCTTTTTATTATGCTACTGTGGGTTCTTTTAGTTTGAGAACAAGCTCCTGCTTGCACTCAAATATTATTTTGCTTTCACAGATTTTCTGTGCTCGCCGTTTCTGTTCTTGAATTTTTGTTAATGACCTCAAAATCCCCCAACCAATAGGAAGCCTCATCGCAGGTGCGTTTGCTTTACTTTTTAGAGCGTCTCGTACTGAGTTTTGGAATAAAGGGACAGTTATTATATAAAGCAGCAAGGCCTGTCCCGAATAGACGCCTGTCCCCAATAAAGGCAGGTTCAGAAGTTCAGAGATTTAAGCAAATAAATGCCCGGGCTATTTTTAGAAGTTTTATGGTAAGTATGTATCATGGATCACATTAACTTCCCCAGCTAATGTGATCCATGATCGCCAACTAAGATATTCACTCAGATAAGATTTTGTTGGCGATAAAGTAAGTAAGCATGCTAAGATTAGCCCACAACACTAATAAAGTAACCTGCAAACAGCAAGCAGTCAGATCTGAATGAAGCTAACTGACTATTTTCCTACATTAGCTAGCTAGCAATTCATCAACAAGCAAGCTAACGTTATTTAGCTGAAAGCAGTCAGACAATATGTTCCACTAGCTTAGCAGTAATGTTAGCTTTGACTTTGGACTTGTGTTGGACTCTGTTGGAGTCTGTGTTGGACTCTCTGATGGACTCTCTGTTGGTCTGTTGGACTCTGTGTTGGACTCTGTGTTGGACTCTGTGTTGTGGGTGGATGTCGGTCGTTTGTAGACATTAGTGGACCATTTATAAGCTAACGTTAGCTAGCTGTTGTACACTGTTGGCACTGTAGGGAAAGCGGAGAGAGAAGGCACTCGGGAGCATAAAGTGACCCTCATCCCTACATAGAAACACATACACACTGATTATTACATAAAAATAAAACATATAGAAGCTTTAATATTTGGGCTGGTTCTCACCGTCTCGTCCACTCGAGTATCCCGACTGAGTAGAAAGTGCTGACTCCGACGTTGCTGACAACACAGAGCTGGAGAACCCTGACAGTCCGGAGGCAGGGCTGGAGAACCGTCCGGGGGCGTGGCCATTACACTTTTCCTCCATCCAGGAGCAGGTGGACTCTGGGCTCGCTTTGCTATTTGCTGTGGAGCAGGAAGTGTTGCCGTTGACGACCAAAGAGCCTGAGAAGAAGGGAGAAGTTTATTTTATACAGTGTAAATGAAGTATTGTATTGTAGTAACATTTTATAATTTACTACCGCATACTGCAGTACTGATACTCACAGTTACTGTCTGTGTCCTCGGGTTGTAACAACATCCCATCCTCCTCCTCCATCCTCTGAACACATGAAAACATTTATTATTATTTTATACTTACTGTTTTAAGTAGTAATAAGTCAGTGACAGTGGTAGTTGTACAGGATGTAACATTACAGTAATATTACAGTAGCATTAAATGGACTGTACTTACATAGCTGTATTCTACAGCCACACTCAACCCATTCGCACACATTTATACACTGATGGATGCCATGCAATGTGCCAACTGCTCACTCAATGCACAGCATCAGGAGAAATTTGGGGTTCAGTATCTTGCTCAAGGGCACTTTGATATTCAGTGAGAGGAGCCGAGAGATAAAACCGGCAAACTTCCGATTAGTGGATGACCCGTAGAGCGAGACCCGCTCTACCTCAGAGCCACAGCCACTTATAGTTATATAAGTTTTATTACTAGGTTCAGAAACAAAGACCATGCCTTAAACTCTGAACAAAAAGTACCTAAGCACACCACCTCCATTCATTCCCTCTTTGACTCAAACAATGGACCCCAAGCTTCTTCTCAACCCTTCAGACAACATTCGCTTGAGGAAGATTTGCAAACTCCCAAAATTCATCTCAATCATCTTTAATTCCTCGTCAGCTAATTTGGTTGCACTCAACAGTCCATGTTCACCGACGCTCCCAGCTTTCATCCTTAGACAACTCCAACATCATCAGGCTTTGGCCCCCCAGCAGCTCCAGGGTAAGACCCCACGGCCCAGCCTTCCACATCAGCCCTCTCAGAGGGCCAGGTTCGTATCAAATCCAGTACCTGCCCTCCCTGCTTCTCATCCATCCCCGAGCACATGCATCCCTCATCCGAGCATCATTTCCTCTTTTCTTGCTTCTAATTCAATTAAATTAAATTTTATTTGTATAGCGCCAATTCATAAAAGAAGTTATCTCAGGACACTTTTCAAATAG